AGAGCTTGCAGTGAGCCGAGATCGTGCCCTGCACTCCAGCCTGGGCGACACAGAGAGACTCCATCTCTTGAAAAAAAAAAAAAAAAGGAATATTTTATTTATTTATTTATTTTTGGAGACAGAGTTTCACTCTTGTTGCCCAGGTTGGAGTGCAGGGGCACGATCTCGGCTGACTGCAACCTCCACCTCCCAGGTTCAAGCGATTTTCCTGCCTCAGCCTCCCGAGTAGATGGGATTACAGGCACCTACCACCACACCCGGCTAATTTGTTGTATTCTTAGTAGACATGGTGTTTCACCATATTGGCCAGGCTAGTCTCAAACTCCTGACCTCAGGTGATCCACCCTCCTCGGCCTCCCAAAGTGCTGAGATTACAGGCATGAGCCACCACGTCACGCCCAGTCTACTTTTTTTTTAAAAAAAAACAATAAAATAAAATAACAAAATAAAATCCAACCTCGTCTACATGTGATCTGCCCATGCTGGTCCACCTGACCTGTTTGCTGTCCACTCACTATGGTGGCCCTGTCTTTGCTCAGTATCCCCCAGCCCCTGCACCCTGCGGCTCTCATTCCCAGGGAGGCTGCTCAGGAGCACTATTTCTGGCTCTCTGCACAACTATCCCTGTCCAACTTTGGATACTGGCCAAAATCACCATCCTCGAGAGGCCCCACCAACCTCGTCTCTGTCTCACTCATCACTTAATTATTCTTCATGGTTCCTATCAGGAATTTCTGACTGTTATTTTGATCTGTGTATCTTAATACTATCCCAGAGAAAAGGTTCCATGAGGGCAGGGCCTCTTATAATTATCCCCATTAGCATGGTGCCTGACTGACAGAAATCATCCAACGTATCCCTATGGAATAAAGAACCATGAAGTGTAGGAAACAGAAGTCTAGAAGCACAGAGAGATAAGGGCAGGATAAGCTAAGATATCAGTCTTAGCTTGCGCCTTCGGGCTAGCACTACAGACCCAGAATCCTGACCCAACTCCACAGATTCAGCTTCCAGGTCTGCCCTAGTCCTGGTCAGTCCCCATGAACTCAGACTCCAGGTCCTTCCCTGTGGACCCAAGGATGAGGCCCATCACAGCACCTGGCTGACATCTGCAGACCCAAGTACAAGGCCTACTCCAGTGCCAGTTCAGCCCCCATGGAACCAGGCCTCAGGTCACCTCTCTGGATACAGGCTCTGACCACCCTTGAACGACACCACATGGCCTGCCCAGAATCTGTGTACAGGCTGATTGGTGAAGGGCGTTCCCTGACAAAGCCAGTCTGTAAATACTGGAATAAGTCCCTGCTTCTTCAAAGAGCACATTCCCACACATTGCCTCAGGCTCATGAGCAATCAGGGAATCATGACAGCACCAAGGAAACAAAATGAAGCACAAGTAACCAACCCGAAACAAACAGACATTTACAACAGCCTGACAAAGAATTGAAAATACTCATCTTAAAGAAGCTCAGTCAGCTACTAGAGAATACAGATAGACAACTAAGTCATGTCAGAAAAACAATACATGAACAAAATGAGTGGTTTAATATATACAGACAACATAAAGAACCAAGCAGAAATTCTAAAATTAAACAACACAATATCTGAACTAAAAAATTCCAGAGAATGTCAACAGCAGAGTTGACTAATTGGAAGAAAGACTCAGTGAGCTTGAAAACAGATTGTTTGAAATTACCAAGTCACAGAAAGAAAAAAAAAATAAAAGAATGAAAAAGAGGGAAGAAAGCCAACAGTACCAACGGTTACCGTGAATAAAAACAATACATGCATTATGGTAGTCCAAGGAGCATCAGAGAAAGTGAAAGGAACAGAACGTGTAATTAAAGAAATAATTAAAGGAAATGTCCCAAATCAGGATGGAAATGGATATCCACATTCATGAAGCCCAAAAAACCCCAAACAGATTAAACATGAAGAGATCTTCACCAAGACATATCTTAAACAAATTCCAAAAATCAAAGGCAAACAGAATTTTGAAACCAGCAAGAGAAAAGCAATGTACACAAAGGAAACCTTATACAACTATTGAAGGCTTCTCAGCAGAAAACCCACAGGCCAGGAGAGAGTAGAATTACACAAAGTATAGAAAGGAAAAAACCCTTGCCAACCAAGAATACTGTACCTGGCAAGCCTGTCCTTTAGAAATGAAGAGCAGTAAAGGCTTTATCAGACAAAAAAACAAACAAACAAACAAACAAAAAAAAAAACCATTGGAGTTCATCTTTAGCATTTCTTGCCTTACACGAAATACATAAATTCTTGCCTTACAAGAAATGCTGAAGAGAGCTATTCAATCTGAAAGAACAGAACACTAACTGGATACACCAAACTATGTGAAAATATGAAACTAGAAAATATGAAATTCAGAATATTCTAATACAATCATAATAGTGTACAAATTACTTGTATCATTAGTATAAAAGTTAAAAGACAAAAGTATTTTTTAAAATGATAGTTAATACAATTTGTTAAGGAATATACAACATAAAAAGATGTAAATAATGACATCAAAAACATAAGACAGGGAAAGAAAAAGTGTCAAGTTTTTTTATGAGACCAAAGATAAATTGTTATCAGTATAAAATAAAGTTAGACATGAACTCAACTTACAAATTCAATAGTGTTTTTATACACTAACAAGAAACTATCTGAAAAATCCCATTTATAATAGCCACAAAAAATGCTTAGGAATAAATTCAACCAAGGTGGTAGCTGTATTTTTTTCTAATTTGGTCTTGAGGTTTCTCTCTGTAGAGTGGCTATAAATTCTAGCCTTACCTTGGAGGGGGGATCCAGGAGATTTCATCACGGATGTTCACAGAAAACTTATTTATCCTGGTGGACCGTCTAATGCCTATTTAGGTGTTCATCTTGTGGGTGTCCCTTCCACAAGACAATTACTTTTACTAGCAGAAGACCTTGTGGTTCTTGTCTGACCTAAGTCCAGTTTTAAGTTATCTCTACTCTTTAGGAGATAGCGACTCTTTAAGAGAGCCAAGATGGAGAAAGATGTTAGGTTCAGATGTATCAGTTAGGGAAAACACAGAGGAAGCAACACAACAAAACACAGGAAACACAGAAGTACTGTATTACTTATAGACTCCAGAGAGAAGAGGACAGCACACTTTGTAGCACTTATGGGAAGTGGGGAGCCATCCAGTCCAAGGACACAACCGGTGTGTGGGGAGCAAGAGACAGAGAAAGAGGACCCATGGGACTACACCTTTATAAAGATCCATGGGCATTATACCCTAGGCTTTCCCACAGGGATTGTGGAAGACAACACCTGCAAAGAAGGTTCACACTGCTCTGGTGTGAACCATTGGGTTTTATTGTAGTCAGCTGCTGTGGGATGTGTTGGATTTGGGGTCAGGGAGATGAAGAACAAATGTGCTAGATCAAAAACAATTGAAGAGGGAAAGGAATTATTAATTGGGCAAAAGATGCTGTGGTATGATTGGGTTTTAAACAACTTATATGGGGCCTAAAAATGGATGTCAAGGCAGCAACTCTTTTAAATAAATTTATGACAGAGGTGAAAGATCTGAAAACTGTAAAATATTGATGAAAGACATGGAAAGTAACAAAAATAAACGGAAAGACAGTACACATTCATGGATTAGAAAACTCAATATTGCTTAATTGTCCATATGACCCAAAGTGACCTACAGATTTAATGCAATGCCTATTAAAATTCCAATGACTTTTTTACCAAAATAGAGAAAACAATTCTAAAATGTGTACGGGACCACAAAAGACCTCAAATAACCAAAGTGATCTTAAGCAAAACAAACAAAAAGAACAAAGATGGAGGCATCATACTGATTTTAAAATATATTACAAAGGTATAGTAATCAAAACTGAATAGTAATGGCATAAACGAAGATAAAACTGATGGAATGAAATAGTGAACCCAGACATAAATCAATGTATTTACAGTCAACTGATTGTGACAAAGATACCAAGAACACAAAATGGGGAAAGGACAGCCTCTTCAATAAATGGTGTTGAGGAAAGTAGATATTGACATGCAGAAGAATGAAATAAGATCCTTATCTCACATCATATGTAAAAATCAACTCAACATGGACTAAAGATTAAACCTAAGCCCTGAAATTGTAAAACTACTACAAGAAAACATAGGGGAAAATCTTCACAACGTTGGTGTGGGCAATGATTTCTTGGCTATGACCCCAAACACACAGGCAACAAAAGCAAAAATAGACAGATGAGATTATATCAGACTAGAAAGGTTTTGCACAACAAAGGAAACAATGAACAGAGTGAAGAGACAACCTACAGGATGAGAGATGGATATCCAAAAGATCCAAGATTTTGGTTAATATCCAAAATACACAGAACTCAAGCATCTCAATAGCATGCAATCAAATCATCCAGTTAAAATGGATGCGTGGGCAAGGGACCTGAATAGACACTTCTCAAAAGAAGACACAGATGTGGCCAACAGGTATATGAAAAAAATGCTCAACATCACTAATCAGGGAAATGCAAATCAAAACCACAATGAAATATCACTTTACACCTGTAAAAATGGCTATTATCCAAAAGACAAAAGATAACAAGTGTTGATGACGATGGGGAGAAAAAGGAATGCTGGTACACTGTTGGTGGGAATGGAAATTAGTACATCCATTGTGGAAAATAGTATGGAAGTTCCTCAAAAAACAAAAAAATAGAACAACTATATGATCTAGTAATGCCACTATTGGGTATACATCCAAAGGAAATGACATCAGTATGTTGAAGAGATATCTTCCCTCCCATGTGCACTGGAGTATTATTTACAATGGTCAAGATATTTAATCAACCTAAGTGTCCATCAATGATAAAAAGGTACAGAAAATGTAGTACACAGACACAATGGAATACTATTCAACTTTAACAAAGAAGGAAATTCTGTGATTTCTGACAGCATAGATGAACCTGGAGATACTATGATAAGTGAAATAAGCCAGGCACAGAAAGACAAACACCCTATGATCTCATATATGTGGAATCTTAAAAGTTAATCTCATAGAGGTAGAGAGTAGAATGGTGATTACCAGGGTTGCATTTGGATGGTGGGTTGGAGATCTGTTGGTCAAAGGACACAAAATTTCAGTGAGATAGGGGGAAATAAATTCAAGAGATGTATTGTGTGACATGTTGACTACAGTTACTAAAACGATGTGTTGTACAGTCCTGCCTTCTATTCACAGGGAATATATTCCATGGAACAAAGTCTGCACTTACTCAAGTTCCTGATATAAATTGGGATAGTATTGCATATACCCCAGGCACATATGCTTTAAATCATTTCAAGATTACTTGTAATACCCAATGCAATAGACATGCTATGTAAATAAGTGCTATACTGCATTGCTTTTTATCTACTTTTATTGTCGTGTTATCATTTCCATTATTTTTTCCACATATTTTTGATCTGTGTTGGTTGCAGCCACGAATGCGAAACCCACAGATGAGGATGGCTACAGAACCCACAGATGAGGAGGGCGAAGAGGGCTTATCCCAGGGCTCTGTATCGGTACAGCTGAAAATTGCTGAGTAGATTTTTAAGTGTTCTTACCACAAATACACGATAAGTATGTGAATTAGCTTGATTTAGCCATTCCACAATGCATACATATTTCAAAACATCATGGTGTACCCCATAAATATATACAATGTTTATATGTCAATTAAAAATAAACTGATTTTTAAAAATAAGAGCGCACCCGTTAGAAAACTCAATATTGCTTAATTGTCCATATGACCCAAAGTGACCTACAGATTTAATGCAATGCCTATTAAAATTCCAATGACTTTTTTACCAAAATAGAGAAAACAATTCTAAAATGTGTACGGGACCACAAAAGACCTCAAATAACCAAAGTGATCTTAAGCAAAACAAACAAAAAGAACAAAGATGGAGGCATCATACTGATTTTAAAATATATTACAAAGGTATAGTAATCAAAACTGAATAGTAATGGCATAAACGAAGATAAAACTGATGGAATGAAATAGTGAACCCAGACATAAATCAATGTATTTACAGTCAACTGATTGTGACAAAGATACCAAGAACACAAAATGGGGAAAGGACAGCCTCTTCAATAAATGGTGTTGAGGAAAGTAGATATTGACATGCAGAAGAATGAAATAAGATCCTTATCTCACATCATATGTAAAAATCAACTCAACATGGACTAAAGATTAAACCTAAGCCCTGAAATTGTAAAACTACTACAAGAAAACATAGGGGAAAATCTTCACAACGTTGGTGTGGGCAATGATTTCTTGGCTATGACCCCAAACACACAGGCAACAAAAGCAAAAATAGACAGATGAGATTATATCAGACTAGAAAGGTTTTGCACAACAAAGGAAACAATGAACAGAGTGAAGAGACAACCTACAGGATGAGAGATGGATATCCAAAAGATCCAAGATTTTGGTTAATATCCAAAATACACAGAACTCAAGCATCTCAATAGCATGCAATCAAATCATCCAGTTAAAATGGATGCGTGGGCAAGGGACCTGAATAGACACTTCTCAAAAGAAGACACAGATGTGGCCAACAGGTATATGAAAAAAATGCTCAACATCACTAATCAGGGAAATGCAAATCAAAACCACAATGAAATATCACTTTACACCTGTAAAAATGGCTATTATCCAAAAGACAAAAGATAACAAGTGTTGATGACGATGGGGAGAAAAAGGAATGCTGGTACACTGTTGGTGGGAATGGAAATTAGTACATCCATTGTGGAAAATAGTATGGAAGTTCCTCAAAAAACAAAAAAATAGAACAACTATATGATCTAGTAATGCCACTATTGGGTATACATCCAAAGGAAATGACATCAGTATGTTGAAGAGATATCTTCCCTCCCATGTGCACTGGAGTATTATTTACAATGGTCAAGATATTTAATCAACCTAAGTGTCCATCAATGATAAAAAGGTACAGAAAATGTAGTACACAGACACAATGGAATACTATTCAACTTTAACAAAGAAGGAAATTCTGTGATTTCTGACAGCATAGATGAACCTGGAGATACTATGATAAGTGAAATAAGCCAGGCACAGAAAGACAAACACCCTATGATCTCATATATGTGGAATCTTAAAAGTTAATCTCATAGAGGTAGAGAGTAGAATGGTGATTACCAGGGTTGCATTTGGATGGTGGGTTGGAGATCTGTTGGTCAAAGGACACAAAATTTCAGTGAGATAGGGGGAAATAAATTCAAGAGATGTATTGTGTGACATGTTGACTACAGTTACTAAAACGATGTGTTGTACAGTCCTGCCTTCTATTCACAGGGAATATATTCCATGGAACAAAGTCTGCACTTACTCAAGTTCCTGATATAAATTGGGATAGTATTGCATATACCCCAGGCACATATGCTTTAAATCATTTCAAGATTACTTGTAATACCCAATGCAATAGACATGCTATGTAAATAAGTGCTATACTGCATTGCTTTTTATCTACTTTTATTGTCGTGTTATCATTTCCATTATTTTTTCCACATATTTTTGATCTGTGTTGGTTGCAGCCACGAATGCGAAACCCACAGATGAGGATGGCTACAGAACCCACAGATGAGGAGGGCGAAGAGGGCTTATCCCAGGGCTCTGTATCGGTACAGCTGAAAATTGCTGAGTAGATTTTTAAGTGTTCTTACCACAAATACACGATAAGTATGTGAATTAGCTTGATTTAGCCATTCCACAATGCATACATATTTCAAAACATCATGGTGTACCCCATAAATATATACAATGTTTATATGTCAATTAAAAATAAACTGATTTTTAAAAATAAGAGCGCACCCGCTGGACACTCCTCCTCGAGGCTGCGCCTCTGTTGCTTTGAGGCCACTGGCGGCGGGGGAACTTCATCCTTCCGGGAGACGGTGGCAGAGTCAACTTGGACCTGTGGGGACAAGGCAGAGATGGGCGTGAGTGGTTTCCAGACCTTACCTCTCCCAGGCTCCATCTCATATTCCCTTCACCCCAAGTGACAAAACTCATCAGAGCTTGGACTTCTTTCCAGCTCCAAACTTTCATTCTTTTGCATCCGTGTTTGTTCCTTGGCCTGTTAGGGCAGCTATTTTCTATAAAGAAAAACACATCTGTGTCCTTTTCTCATATTATAACATAAAATAGCTTTACCACAGAAAATGTGAGCAGAAGAGTTATTTTTATTTTTTATTTTTTTGATAAGAGTCTTGCTATGTTGCCCAGGCTAGAATGCAGTGGCTAGTCACAGGTGTGATCATAGTCCACTACAGCCTGGAACTTCTGGCCTCAAGTGATCCTCCTGCCTCAGTCTCCCAAGTAATGTGGATAACAGGAACACACCATGGTGGTTGGCAAGAAAATATTTTATAAGAATATAAAAGGCCAGGTGCGGTGGTTCACGCCTGTAATCACAGCACTTTGGGAGGCTGTGGGGGGCGATCGCAAGGTCAGGAAATCGAGACCATCCTAGCTAACACAGTGAAACCCCATCTCTATTAAAAATACAAAAAATGGC